GCCTACTAATCATATTTTTTACAATGTTTTACCCTATTATCTTTTTTTGAAGTACAGTTATGTTACCATACAGAATGTATAAATTTATTGTCCCAAACTGTGAACTTCAAACATCTACACCTTACATGTTTTGCATGTGACATTTTGTGTTTTCATTAAAAAAAAGTTATAAAAAAATTGTCCAATCAAAATTAATCCCGCTCTAGTGGTCAGTTATTCTGCATTTATTCTACATAGGAACACACTTGCATCATACTTATTTTTAACAAATCATTTCCAAAATATTAGGGCAAAATAAAACAATTTATATAGTGAATAATGAAATGATGGGTTAGTGGCTCTATTGTTTATTATGATGATTGTTTGTTTGTTTGTTTCATTTTACGCCTTTTCCCAACAGTATTTCAGTCATATAGGCGGGTACTTTCCTAACCATCGTTCCTGGAGAGTTACACCTGTACTAGACTACCTTCCTCCTCGCTAAACTACCAAAGCATCTCCCGGGGATCGAACCCACGCCAGAGAGGTAAGTGGAGTAGAAGTCATCGACTCTAACTCCTCGACCACGGAGGCGGTTGATTATTATGATGAAAAAAGAAAAAAAAAAAAGCTAAAACAATCAGTGTTGTGAAAGTATATTACTAGAGGGGCAAGTTGAAGTTGAGCTGAACTTGCCGAAAGAGCTGGACTTGCCTTTCAGCAAGTTCTTTTGAAAAACAATTTCCTACACTGAAAAGCAGTTGTTTCTGGTGAATGACTCAGGGCCATCATGGCCCTCTTGTTTGTTTTTCGATTTAGATAAGTACAATTACGCATTATAAACTTTATTGCTTTGATATTCTATAAAACTTAGGTTATTTGCCAAGCTACTTGTGTCATAAAGTAGTATAAAATTGCAAATGCCTCAGGTATACTGATTATTATTATAAAAAATAAATGCGTAATTTTATGAACAATATCGTAAAAGCTCAAAAAAAAGGCATTTAATACGATAGCCACGTCAGTTATAATTACGAACGATCTCTGAAAGTAAACAATATCCAAGAAATATTTTAATGAGGTTCACATAGAAGGTTCCATGAAAACAGGCAGATGTTTCAAAGCTCAAAAGTTTACCAGTACATGTTAAATGATGAATTCTGCTTAAGTCTGCTTAGGGGCGTAGATGGTAGCATGCAATGACTACTACAGTCCCTATCAAACCGACATTGCATCATGTTTTTCAATTTTGCCGTTTTGTTTTTCTAAAGGGATTCTGTTTTCTTTTCTATTTTTAAATAATTATAACATCTCAGCAAACGAGTGTTTAAATTTGATTAACAATGACTATTCACAAATTTAGCCAATATTACAAGTGTCATATAACTACCTTTTCGGATAATGCGGGGTATTCGAATAAAGGGTTGTCGAATAACCGGGGTCGAAACTGTAATGATACAGAATGCTATTAATTAGCTTTGATAGTTTCTGATATAAAACACCTTAAAATGTTTATCAGGGCAGAAACTTGAAAAACGTGCATAACTTTGTAACATTATAAGTGTATCTGCCCTTTTGTAACCAAACGTAATTTGGACGGGAAAGATTCTACAGTTTAACGAAGATACCAAAAAAAATAAATAAGATAACCTGTATAATTGATGTATATTTATGAAACAGGAAGGGTTAATGAAAGAGTGACACGTCACTTTGTTTCCTTGTTGTAGGGTAAATTGTTAACTACTCTTGCAATAATACATCGCGTTCAATTTTAAACCATGCGTAAAAGGATAAAATCACGCACCGTTTTTCGGGTTTATAATGGTGATAGTTAATAAGAAGCGATATCAAGGTGCCATGTAAAATTAACATTATCAAAACATAACTGTCAAATCACATCGAATTAGCAAACATTGAAAGAATATCAAAATGACTTTTTATACGATCAGCAGAACAAAACGCGTAATTACCGAAATATATTGGATTCCCTCATCTTTCTTAAGTTTTTGGAGGGCACTGGACCGTTTAAATGTAGTTTTGTAGATCTGGGGCCAGAGGATGACTGATCAAAGTCACTTTCAAATCTGTCGTTAAGTTACGGTTTGTAAGTTTGCGCATGAATATCGACAAACCCAGGCTTTAAGAACAAATGAAACTTGAATTTTCTCGCAGACATAAGTCTGATGAATTACCCTTGCTGGCTTGTGCTTTATATGCGTCCTCGTGCTTCTGCAAAAGTCGAAAAAAGTGAATTTATCCTCCATTGAATGAAGCGTCATATTTGAATAAATTGAGAATATGAATAACAAGTACTACTGCACTAAACAACTAAACAATACTGTATTAAGCAATTTAATTTACATCATATATACATAATTGTTAATTTATCTGCTCATTGAAAAACAATTGGATTTTTAAAGAATATTTTTTTGTGAATGATTTATCTGGTACGTGCTCTTCCATGGAAATGAGACTTTGATCAACAACCGATTAATTTGTTCAAAGAAGCAATTTGAAGCAATTTTGAACAAGTCATTCTTATCTATCTTCTATCTTCCATTAATGTCAAACCACTCGCGGGGACGTAGACATGTTTATAGACTAGTCACTTCAGAGAAAGCTATGAGATACAAGGGAGTCCGGGAACCAGTCCCTAGCTCTTGTTGAATACACCCCTTGGTTCTTTTACAAGCCTAGTGTATAGAACTGATGCATGCGAAAATTACCTGGATTTCTTACCAGTACACCTCTAGTTAGGTGGAAAACACTGAAAGTGTCTCTGAAAAATCCCAAGGGTGTTACCCATAATCGAACCCGGGACCTCAGCGGTGACAGCCAGTGGTCTAACCAACTGAGCTATAGCGCCACCTTTATTTTCATCGCAAACTCATTCAAACTTTTTAAAACATGCAAAAAACGAATGGGAACGTACTATATTGTTGCATGTTGGTGACAATCTAAATATTCGGTTGAAATATTTAAAAGGAATATATTGTTTTTAAAGTAAATATAAGTATTACTTTAAGATGCCTTTAATGATACAAAACAAAAAAACACAGTCTGTCTCAAAAAATATAAAAGCAGTTTTCATGTTGAGAAGACATTGTGATCGAGTACTGACACTTTGGGATAAGTTATCAAATACATCTTGACTAAAATAGCATGTTTATTGCCATCGTTATACTGTGGTATTTTTCACAATTATAGTTACCAGCTTAAACAAAAGAACACATCAAACAGTGATAACAAATCTATTTAAAGCAGCATGCCTCCACATTCATGCTAAATTTCAAGAAAATTTTGAAAATGTATTTCACAGTAAAATACTGTGAAGTGAACAAAAAAAGTAATTTACACATTGCAAACGGCAATTAAAATCCACGTCATGACCAAAAAGAGGTCAAAATATGCATAAATACCTCTTACTGCGTTAGTAACGCAGTAGTATAGTGATTGATACTGCAAAATCAGTCATAAATCGCACATACATGTAACATGTAAACAATTTATTGAAAATTGGACCGTTTTACTTTTCTTATGATCTTAATACATTTTTCTAAAGATTGTATTTCTTGAAATATTTGTCTCTCTTTAAAAACAGATGGTTAAATCGATTGCGTAAATTCATAACGTGATGTTTATTGTAAATAACCAAACATCACGTTTACAAAACAAGTAAAAGGGCTACAAAAATAATTGTTTTCGTAGGTGGGTGATTAACAAATCAGTACCTTAATACCTAGCATTTTGATCCATATAAAATATTACCGTCATGTAGCGCTTCAATATGTAAAATATGTATTTGTAACAAATTTGATTATGGGCATACCATGCTAACTTAGTAAATAGTATGACGTACAATTTACTTTTGATTTTGATCATCACAGATTGAATATAAGTAGAAATATATTTCTAAATTTAGAATAAAATTAAAATAGCATTGTTCTCGGTTATAGTGACCATTTGGTGCATAAGGTGTCACCCTGTACGTACTCAAACCCGACCTGTAGCTTTCAGTTTGATCGGTCATGTTATTAAGAGTGTATTTATTGCATCTGCTGAGGTTTTGTGTGATTTCAGATAATTTTCATGTTGTATGTTTTCTTCAGAACCTCTTCTCTGCATATCAGGAGAAGCGACTTTTAAAAGAGGGTCATTTCAACTGTGACGCCAGCACATTGAAGATTCTGAAAAAATATCATGGAAATATTTGTCCACATTATATGTAATAATTAAAATATATGCATTCATTCCTTATTGAAAAATGGACTTAGACTTTATAGAAAAATAATCTCCTTTTATTAATATGAAAATGTAAATTCGGTAATTTCTTTACAAATAATGCTTGTTGGAACATACAATATTGATAAATCTTCATTTGAGCATTATATTTATGATATAAAAAGTTACAGGATATTTAATGTTTTATATTTTAAACCTGATTTGACATGAGAAGTGTTGATGTTAAAAGTTGAAAACAGTATATATCTCAACAGGAACCCGGGAATCTAGAATTTAGCCACAAATGCGACTTATTAACTGACTAAATTAGACGCCGTAAGACATCACAATTATTATTGCACAACACATTGACCGAATATTGTTTCGATAAAAAAGTAAATCACATTGATTGTTTTCCATTAAGAATATTAAGTTTATTTTTATTTGCAAGTTTATGTAATTTATGAAAACATGAGCAAGAGCATATCAAATATCAAATCATATATAAAAGAAATCGTCTGTGTGATGCATGGGTATTGACATCAAACACAGAATAACGAATACAACAACAATAAAGATAATAATAATAAACCATAGAGGACAACAATATAGATTTATGTTTGTAAGATCAGGTTTTTTGTTCTAGCTTTAAGTTATTTGTGGACAAATAAATAGTATCGTTTGGTTGAAAAAAGTAATTTAGTAATAGTCATCACAATGTTTCAACAAAAATATCCTTTGGCCTTATATGTTAGCTATATATTTGAAAGATCTTCTTTAGATTGCTAAGTTTCCTTTGACTTGTGATGAGAAAAAGAACTGTAAGTACATTTTAAAAGTTTTAATTTTACAATGAAATTTTTTTTTATGATTTTGTAGAAAATGTGGCTAACATTCTATTGACTGGAAAACTTGTTTTAATGTTCTAGTAAATGCTTATTTGTTCATACTAGATATTTTTTAAATTGTCTAATTTCAGAGGGACATCCTCTCACATTCAGCATAAAATGTTTACTCGTAAGTACACGTTTGTAGTCAGTATCGCCTGTAATAAATACCAGTCTGATATGAACTTAGATGAAGTTGTGTTTATCATTAACTTATTGAATGAGTCGTTTATATTATGAAAACAATTTATAATTTTATTTATATATGCATTAAGCATTAATTATAGTACTTTCTCCATGACCAAAATACAAAAATTCCTGACGTTCAATTTGATATTCACTATTTAGGGACAGATTTTGATTACAGAAAATTTACGACTATATATATTATAATTGTAGACTTGACACTGTTTATTTTGGCTTTCTTGGCTGCAAGAACAGGTCAGTATTTTATTTAACATATTATTTATTATTTGATTAATTTTTCGTTTTCTTCTGTAGTTGTTTTACGTTTGCATGTACCATAATTTATATACAAAGAATGGTTAAAAATTAAACAGTTTATAACATATAAACTTCCTATATGAGAATATTCTGTCAAGTTACTAAAGCTTTCTTATAAATGCTCGTAATTGTACATACTTGTTTGTTCTGATTACAACTCATGCTTGCAAAGATATTCAATCTTGTTCCAATCTGTATTATGATCTCTAAAATGTGCCACATTTTTCAGTTACAGCTTCTTACGAATGTTACACATGTAAAGATATTGACGATCCTGATGATTGCCATAACATTACAGAAAGTGGTAACCAACAGGTATGATGTTTGCCTAAAGGAGCATGAGGTTAATGAAGACTTTTTTGCTAGTCAAGTATATTTTGCTATTGCTTTAAGAACAAGTATTTTTCCGGTTTGAATTATGATATTTTGATACCGCATTTAAAGATTTCCCTTTGCACAGTCACAATTTAGTTCTTCTATCATAATTGTTACAGTCCTGTTTTGCTAAAGTGGACATCAAGGGGCGATCTAAGTCGTTTACATTGGGAATCACAGATGATGAGGTAAAATAACTTTTCGCTATTAAAACCGTATCGATATAGTTTCCATGTCAATTATTTTAATTTTTTGATTTTTTTATTTATATTTCAGTACATTTCAATTATAACTACTAAAATATTCATTTCCATAATGACTTGCTGATTCAACTTTATTCACATATGAAAATAATGAACTCTTGCTTTAGAATTGTGGCACGATTCCAATCTACAATGTGACAAAAGTGAAAAGAGATGTGGCGGACCAATGTTTCGAGTGTTGTAGTAGAGACAAATGTAACAGTCAGTTATGTCAACACCGAAAACGTAAGTAAGCAGCGAGGTCATTGAAGTGAATGTTTCAAATTAATATGTTTTATAATGAATATTGACTGTCTAATTTAAAGTTAAAATAGCTATAGAACTGTTTTGTGAAAGCTATTTCAAGGTTGCATAATAGTTACCTGATAAAAATGAGGATAAACACGTGTTTTTTAATTATAGCTTAGAAATTATGAATGAAAATAAGAATGCATAAAATCATTTACATCTCAATTTTATTTTGTTTTTTATAATTTTTAATCTTTTGTCTAATAGAATTGCAGTATTCTGAACAAATTGTTTGAAAAGCCAGAGGTATGCAGGATAAATTATCCATGCCTTATGGTTAAGGTGTTTGCCTCTCAACCCAGGGATCATGGGTTCGCGCCCTAATCGGGTCACTACCATGAATCTCCATATGACACCAGTACTGGTTGATTCCATGAAGCGGACTCGAAAGTGATTGATATAAGTTAAAGAGCTGTTTCGCAAATGAGTTTTAATGAAAAACAAACAAATTCTCCCGCTGGAGCCCTGCTGACAAAACCACATTTTTTCAGACCTGGCTATGTGATATTTTACGAATCTAAAGAGGTTTTGGACGGGGAACAATTAAAAAATAATTTAAAATACTTACTTATTTACCAATTCTAAATTCTTTAATTACCTTCATTCAGCATATTCAGCATTTCTATAGCTGTACTCATAGAGGATAGTATAAAAGAATCTTACACCGGCTGCCGGTACAGACCGGAATATCTAGCTCGAGGGTAACTGTTTACAGCGGTAACGAGGCTCTGCCGAGTTTCCGCTTAACAGTTACCCGATAGCTAGATATTCCCGTCTGTACCAACAGCCGGTGTTTGTTTCTTTTTCTTGCATATCACATGTTAATTATTTTCGGAACAGATATTATGAAAACTGATATTCTCATTACGCACTTTTTTCTTATAGTAGCGTATGAACATACAACTTCATTCATATCGGAAAAATGACGTCATCCTAAGAACGCGATTCATTCATAAAAGGCGCGCGTCAATGACGTCGTTTAAAACACGCGACTTGTCTTACATGGGGGTGTAAGACAGGGTTTTCTAGCACCGATGTAAACGGTAGATAATCCTGTCTGACATGCAAGAATACATAGTCTTCAATATTAACTTTTATCACACACCCGTGCCGATTTTGCGACTCTGTAAATATGGTATTGCACGGCCGTGCATATATTTTGACGTGACGTCATTAGCGTTATACAAACATAGTGTAAAGACGCGCTAAATGTTAGCGTTATACTATAGGCGCGTCAATGAAAAATGACTCTTATTTCACTTTAAACAGTCTTTATTTTGGGTATATAATAATAAATAATAATAAATACCACATTTATATAGCGCCCTTTTCATTAACATGTTCAAAGGCGCTTTACATCAATCATATATGTCTAAAACAATATAAATGAACAGGAATATTAACATTAAAAATATTTTGCATTAACTAATTAAAAGTATAAATTATGGAATTATTTTTACATATTAATACAATATAACTTAAAGATCCTTAAAACTCACTTTACAATATTATTGTCATACATTAAAATTGTCTTCAATATATAAATGTGTAAGAAATAATGTGCCTTTTAACATAAACTCATAAATAAATATTAAAAGCTACTTTAAATGCATATTGATGATTTTCATTGTTTTTTTGTCATACTTTACAACAGAAAATATATGAACGATTGATAAAAGAATGAATACAGCGACATCAGACTAAAAGAATATTGAACCTAACGAACCTGGATAGCATGAGTACTGCTACACCAAGGTCCAGTACCGAGGGAGTCAGATACCTCCCCACAGCGCATGCAGACCCCCAGGATGACATCACTACTATCACCACAGGAGGAAAGGGCCACGCCCCACACCTTAACACTAAATATTCTTGAAATCTGACCCCTCTGCATTCACGAGCCATATATTATATAACACATGTAAAATTATTATGATAAATCAATGTTAGTTTTTTTTTTTTTTTTTTTTTTTTTTTTATTTAAAAAAAAGAAATATTCTGTGCTTAAAAATGCTAGCAATGGATTTATAATAATAGATAAGATCTTGCTAAATCATCGTTATAAAACAATAGAAATACTAAATTGATTTTAAAATTGTTTGTTTAAAAAAAAAAAAAAAAAAAAACTTTTTAATAAAACTAATATTCAAATAACAGATACTTCGTATTCACTGTTTATAAAATTCATTCATAACAGTCACTGATTATTTTCCATAAGCTAAATTGAAGTAGTGTGTTTTAAGATGTTTTTTGAAACTTTCTACTGTGTTACAGTTTTTTAGATGACTTGGTAGTGAATTCCATAGCTTAGGAGCTGATGCCGAAAAACTCCTTTCACCAAATTTCAGTTTAGTTTTTGGTTGCACTAATCGTACAGGTGCATTTGAAGAGCGCAGATTTCGGGAAGTGGAATAAACTTGAGTCATTTCCTGCATATATGATGGAGATTGTTGTTTCAGTGACTTGAAAGTATGTAATAAGATCTTGTAATTCACTCTATATTCGATTGGCAGCCAATGAAGATCTTTCATCACTGGTGTAATATGATCTTTCCTAGATGTACGTTTAATCACACGGGCTGAAGTATTTTGAACAAGTTGAAGTTTTTTCATGGTTTGTTGAGGTATACCATATAGAAGAGCATTGCAATAATCAGTCTTGATGTCACGAGAGAGTTAACGAGTGTTTTTGTAGCTTCTTCGTTGATATATTTTCGAATACGTCCTATCTTACTTATTTGGGCATACGAAGATCTGCACACGGAGCTAACATGATGTTCCATATTAACCCTTGAATCAAGGAATGCACCCAAATTCCTTACACTTGATGACTGTTTGATTTCAGCTTGGTCCACATTGACAGTTATATTTTTCACTGAGTCTGTATTGCTACCCGACGAAAAGACTATAAGTTCTGTATGTGATAAATAGAATATTAAATTCGTGTAAGTTCATTACTGAATTTATTGCACTCGTTGAATGAAATAATATTATGCTCGCCAGAGGCTCGCATAATATAATTTTATTCAACTCGTGCAATTAATTCAGTATTGAACTTACACTCATTCAATATCCTATTCATGTTTCAGCCTCAAAATGTATCGACGACGTCAAAATTGACTGTGCACATATGAATGCGGTGTTTAATATTTGTGGAAAAGTGCACCAGGCGAAGAATATGTGTCCTAAGTTTTGTCGTCTGTGCTCATTAGGTAAACAATATGTTTTCACTTAAATGGCAAGTGATACTGGCATGCCAGCAGTTACCGTACAAAAATGGTAGTAACTTAAAAAATATTTTTTAATACGCTCGTCCACCAAAAAATTAAATGTTACACATCAAAATTCGACTCTTCGCACAATTTATGGAAATTCCATTACGTTTAAAACATAGAATAACCCTTAGTTATGAGGTCTCATGTAGGGTACCGGAATTATCCATTATTTGTAAGAAGAGAAGTAGTTCCCGTACATAAAATCTAACCAATTATTATTATACAATGTTGTTATATCAGACCTATTTTTCATTTATAATTATTGAAGAGACCATTTTCCCAGAGGTATATAGATGTAATTCAGGAAGTTAAAGCAACGACTAAACGCTGATATCTATTACCCGGTACCATTACCCCAAACACATTCACATGCAATTAATGGCATGCTGGTATGCATGATATTTTACTCATTAAAAGCCATAAAATTATTTAATATAGTGATATAGATCAAAATTCTGATAATTAAACAGATCTGTACACAGGTGGTGTAAGTGCATAACCGTTTTTAAAAGAGGCCTCACATGTAAGTATTTTTGCGCATGCGCGCAAGGACGGAATCCCCCAAAGTTCACAAGGTCACTTTTTGACAACACACAGGTGAAAGTGACTTAAAATGAAAAGTATTTATACGTACTGCCGCAATGACACTTAGATTTTGTCTCGTTTATGCATCTGCTTGATTTTATATCAATTTTTGAAGAATACAAGAAAACATCAAGTGTTTAGACGAAAAATACGGGTACTGCTTGTGTATGGGAACTGCTCGCATGCCAGTATTCATATAACAAAACTTTTAACAGTAATTATGTTCCGATTCTTGTAAAGTATAGAATATATAAATATTTTAATATTGACAGCAGGGTACACATCGAAAGTTTAATTTATTTTACGTGTGTTAAACATAATTTGAAATAACAATATTCTTTATATCATACATAATGATTGTTGTTGTATTTGTTTTATTTTTTCAAAACAAAAAAGTTGGCGGAAACTGGGCAGATTGGTTTGAATGGTCAGCGTGTGACGTCACATGTGACGTTGGCATACACATCAGAAAGCGAACGTGCACTAACCCTGCTCCCGCGTATCAAGGTCTGATGTGTTCTGGAAATGACACTGAAACAAAACGCTGCAATAATATGCTCTGCCCTGGTAAGGATTTCCGACATGACTATTGTTCATGTGATATTGTAAATTATCAATAGTTTGTTTGGAAAATCGACGATATTTTTCTATAAATGTAAAATAGCTTTGGCTTGCTTTTGAGTAAACAAGAATACTACTTGAATGTTCATAAATAAGCTATATAAAATACAAAGAAGAAAAATAGTAGCAACCGTTTACCGTTTTGATCTTAAAAGCTAATATTCCGTCTTTCGGTATAATTTGGTTCATAACGAATCTATGTTCGATTGTGTAGGAAGCTGTATACTTACAGAGACGCATTAAATACTTTCCTGGAACCAACCACTACTGAGCAATGAGTGCAAAGATTCTTGCTCAACAACGACTTGCCCTGACAAGGTTTGAACCTATGCGGCTACCGATAATTAGTCCCATGCCTTAACCACTCGAAAGTGCCGTCACACAATTTAATTTATTATTTTAAAGACTGTGCAAAAGTAAGAATATATCAGAAATGAATATTGAATTGTCAACTGTATAAAAGATAGTAATTTTAACCAAAGTAAATGGTGGTTGGTCTGACTGGTCCGATTGGGGAGAATGTTCTGTGACATGTGACACCGGTCTGAAGAAGAGAAACCGTTCATGTTCCAATCCGTATCCGAAGAGAACCGGCGTTCATTGCTTTGGTGACTCCACTGATGTTGAAATATGTAAACAAAAGGCATGCACAGGTAAGTCTTTGATTATTAACATTATCTGTAACCGTTATATGTATCGATAGAGCGGATAAATCTGTTCAATTTTCATACCTCAATGTTTATTCTTTCTTCTTACCTCATATTTTCGGTAATTGGATGTTTTTATTCTAAGAAAAAAGTTAATACGTAAATATTTTTTTCAGAGCAGATATATTTTGCAATCAATTGTGAAAAAGTAATTTATAGTTTGATTAAAAAACTGCACTATCATTTTTAGACACGAGAAGATTTGTGTAGCATTTAATGTACGTCTGAACCAATAATTTGTGTGCAAGTTATTCAGGTTACCACGTTTGTCTAGAAAGATCAATTTCACTGTGCAAAATTACCCAAAACTAAAAAGCGTTGTGTTTTCATTACTCATATTTCACTAAAAATCTCACAAAATTGATAATCAATTTAATTCTGAGTCTATTTGTTCATTATCATTTGCATAATGTTTACCATTTTATGTGATTCACTTGTTCTATGCAAGAATTAAACATTAGAAGAGCTCCTACAAACTTTAACACAGATTAAATCCTTCTTTTTATATAAATTGCAATTTTTAGACTATTGACCATAGTTTTGCCTTTATAATTAGATGTCAAAAATTTATAAATGAGATGTGATCAAGATTTTATGTTAATATTTTAAATAGAAATTTACTCTTTGATTTCAGATATTACCACTACGGTCGCTTTCAGGTCAGATACAGTTACTGACTTGTCTTTAACGGACAACAAAATTATTGTATTCTCACATTACACTCTCAACATTGGTGGCGCATATAACAACAAGTCTGGTATTTTCAGAGCACCTGTCCCTGGACTGTACCAGTTTGCAGCTCAGATATGTTTGTATGTGCCTTCTCAAGCGTATTTTGGTATCTCTGTGAATGATATAATTCTCACGAAGTCTTTAATCGGGGACAAGTTTTGGCACAGATGTTACACGTTTGATGCTCTGACATTTGTAGATCTGGCAAATCAAGTATCCGTCAAATGCATAGGGTCGTGCCTCGGTGACAAATTAATCAAGAATTATCATATGCAAAGCAGTTTTTCGGGGTTTCTTGTCAAAGCAAATATGCAATAATATTTCAATAACCCTTTCATTGCTCCAACGACTTTAACAAGTCCGGAATCAAAACTGCAGAGACAAAATCAATTATAATATTACAGAAACCACTTTGTTGATGACATTTTTATAACTATACAAATAACATTAAAGAAGAAGATACCCACACAAAGTTTTTGCAATAAAACATTTTGGAGTATTTATAATTAAAGTGATATATAAATATGAGTGGCATAAGGAAAAAATGCACCCCTTCAATTATTTTTAACATCATTATAATTAATCCAAAACCGACAGTTGTCAAGCTTAAGTGTATTAAAATGTTTAAAGTGTTTATTCTAATATACATTTGTCATTTAATGATCATAATTCACATAAGCTAATACAACACGCCTCGCATCACGGGTTTCTAGATTGACGGTCCGGTATGTTTACCACTATAACACAACTTAAATTTTCTATAATTTTATGTATACCGAATACCTTTTACGCATAATACGTTTTACAAATGTATTTACTAAACTACATGTCTTTTTTAAAGGGATAAGCATTTTCTGCTTAATATTCATCGATCACTATAATCTTTTCAAATACGTAGTATGAGAATAATGTATGATATATCGCACACAAGTGTGAAATATTACTAAAGTAACATAAAAATGTTTAAGCGAATTTAGTTTGTCTAAAACAACATGGAACCATTGACGTGTGTTGCAAAAAGATTGATGAAAAAAAAATCAGTTGTTTTTATTTATCATTCTTATTATCTGCCTATCTATTTATTAACTTAATTTAACCACATTTCAAATGTATCATTTTTGTTGCCTCACTTTGTCTTGTAATAAAAATAATAGAGCAGTGGTTTAGTTGTTTATGTGATTTTCATTAATAAAGGGGTTGTGAGTTCGAGTCGTTCAAGAATTACGACAAAATGTCCTCGTATGACATAAGCACTGTTCCATGAAGTTGACCCGTGAGTCTAATGAGCTTAAAACTTCCGAGCTCAAATTGATATACTGAAACTTAATTGAGTTAGGTTAACTGTCGTGGTCAATTCATATATATGTAAATCAGACGCTTTCAGGCAGCACGCCTCCAGATTCATGCTAAATGCCATGCTTATCTTTTAGATGTATTTAAAAGTAAAAAAAACTATGAACAAAGTATTACTTACACATTGCAAACGGCTGTATCAATCTCAAAAAATATCAAAAAGGGATAAGAATAAGCATAAATAACCCTTACTGCGTTTATCACGCTGTAGCAATATGGAGATAAGTACCGCAAAATCAGTTCTTAATCGCACATATTATAATAAGAATTATTACTTAAATTTTAAATATCATATCTTTTCTAAAAATCTCAGCATATTTTTCTAAAACGTAATTTGCTTAAAATATGTTTGCTTATCTGAGGTCATGCAAGAAAAGGAGAAATTATCGTTATCACGCTTTAACTGAAACATGCGTTTGATAAAAATGATTTTAGGTGAAAACCGACGTGCATAGCGGTTTTTCTAAAGAGTTGATTTGACATTTAATATTATACATTAAATGAATCGCCATTTATAACATACTTGTAATACCATCATGGGCATATTGTCTAATGGAATAAACTACTTAAAAATGAAAATGATAAATCTCACGGAGCCTTTTGCAAGGCAGGAGTCACTTTATTTTGAATATCTAACTTATAAATATCATTGTATTGACAATCTAAAAATTACATTTTATTTCATTAAGGCGTAGGTTGAAGAGTAAAATGGAAAGTAATTATTGCTGTTTAAGTCATCTTTGGGTAAAATAAAACAGAACAGCATCACCGGCAGATGGTATATAGGAACTGACACCTGGAAAATAAATAATATTCTCCGTTTTATTAAGCAATATAAATTAAGCAATGCCACCTCTTTCATGAGGTGACACGTGCCACCGGCTGATGATTACAGTTACATGAATTATAACAAACTGTTTAACCTCAATGCACATAGGTGTACTATTACTGCGCATGTCATGAAATAATTACGTAGTTGGAGAAAACAATAAGATGTACTATAATCCACCGCATTGAAGTCAAAGATTGTCTTCTAAAGCTTACAGACATACAGTTTGCCCAAATGCAAATGTTGACATTAGTAAACTTTACACATTTTATAAAATTTAGATACAATATGCAACTGTAGAATAAACAATTAGTTGATGCTATTTTAAGCTGATGAACAACCGGTTATTAAATAGGCGGATAAGATACAGATGGAGGCTTTTAAAATGCAAACTCTGAAGATGTCGCAAGCAAATCGAATATAATTATCTATGAAAACAAAACTATTGGTCACATAGCTAAATGATCATTCTTACCAACATACAGAGGTCCAGACAAATAAGAAAACTGCCAGTATGTGTTGTTGACATTGTAAGTTCCTGTAAGGTCATGAATTATATCAATAAAGTAGCCATTGTGGGATAGTGAAGGTCGCTCTGGAACTGGAAGAAAAATTCTAGAAAGTCTTTATCTTAATAGATCTTCTCTAACAATGATATCAAATCATTGGATAAAACTAAATTTTGAATCTTCTCAAAATCTCTCCCGAGATATAAATGTGGCGGAGACGACACACACGAGGTCAAGGTCAAGTCATCCCAATTACATGGGATGATCGGTTGACCTGCCGTATGTAACTCGTTTGGGTGTTGGCCCACAAAGGGTCGATTTGAAAGATGCCGTGATGTTGATGTCATTTGCTCCTGTTAACACCTACATAAAATGAACAGGATTTGCGGAGGACAGCGTGAAAAAGACGTTCCCGATGAGGAAAAATATGCAAAAGTCTGAAACATATGGTTTATTCCGGCGCCAAGAATAAATAAACTTAAAACACACTTGAATTTTCAGCATTAAAACTTGACATGTCGACATAACTTTGTGGTAAACCTGTCAGAGATATAATCTAAGGATCTCTTTCCGAGTAGGTTCAAACCCCATCGCAAGCCGTAAAGAGTCTGAACAAGAAAATGTGCGTAAATGTAACCTGACTGAGTAACCTAAAAAAGCATTTTATCATTAATTTGAAGGAAATTTCTACCATGGGAAGTACATAATGCATTACTGTTGACAATGATTTACAAACAAAAAAAATACGAGTATATACTTTACAAACTCCTTTGGTTTTTGCAACACCGACTGTTCCATGTATCTTATCATCGTTACACGTGGATATACCCTTAACACGATACTCGCTCTGAAGTATGGGGATTGAAGCTGATTGTTGATAGTGTACTTAAACTGTCTCTTACATGATGGTCCGTTCTCTAAACAGTCATGTTTTCTGAAATGCAATGTTTATTTTTTGATAATCTTTACATTTAAATTATGAATATCAATTTTGAATGTTTCTTTGAAGGGAAAAAACGTCTTTACTCCATTCGATTTTCTACAGACAAACATTTAAATATAAAGCAAGCCTGATTAAAGGCTGAATAAACATGTGAACTTAATTATACTTTTATGTTTATGGTAAACTTTATAGATTATTAATTCACGAAGATGAAATCGGGAATTATGAAATTGAAATGTCCGCACCGGTTTTTCGTCATTACATTATTAATTGTTCGCATTTCAGTGGTTCAACGGTGCAGATAATGAGATAAGTTCAAGAATGTTGAGATTATCTAAAGGTCAGATGAGTTTGATATTGGAGAATAAGTATTAAACATTATTTTGGTTCATTGTATATTCTATTCTATTTTTATGATTTTTTTTTGTAAATATAGGATGGATAGAGTAACAAATCATGTCAATGAGAATAAGATATATATGCAAGTTTGTGGAGTATTAATAAAGATATTTGTTATATATGTTTAATATATATACGATGAGTGTTCAAATATGAATACATCTAAGCTCGTAAAATTTGATTACGCATAGGTTTCACTGCATTTTTTAAAATTGTGTTTCCTTTCAAACAGATAAAGATAGTTTCAGTCCCCTGATCCAATATCGGGAGGCATTTCATATACTATGAAGACACTGGAATATTACAGGACCGAGGTGTTTGGGTTGAATAAATTTTCGTGTCACAAGGGACAAGGTGAGGTGAATACGTAATTTGTGCTTCATTAAGTCTTACACTATAGACGCCTTGCGAGATGACGCATTGTAATGCATCGATCTGACAGTGGCAAAGTCTGTTTCAGCTCTTAGTTTTCAAAAGAACTTTTGTCTTGTAAAACTTCTCATTAACAGATTTACCTCTCGGAAAAGCAAACTGGATGGCGGGACTTTGAATTGTAAATAAATAGCATACATTACCCTTTTTACTGACGGTCCTTTTTGAAATGCATAGTATTTTGCAAGACTTTGAAGCCCCAATCTTGTGTCGATGTTTTCTTTTTGGCTCATTAAAATGAACCCATGTTTCTTCACCAGTGGCGACATTTCTAAAAAACGGTGCATTGTACAACAACACATCGTACTGCACGCGATCATTTTTCTATACATTTATCAGGAGAATCCATCTAGCACAGATATTTCTCATTTACGGTTAGAATGAAATGAAATGCCAAAGATACTATCTGTTGGTGATTAAGGCTCCCGGGCATGGGGCGATCTTCAGTCGAAATTAACCTAAGTTTGAATACATGTATATTAAACAAAAAATATCTGATGAAAATGGCATTTAATTTTGTCCATACACAGAAGAGATATTATCAAGAAAGTCTTTACACCCTTTGCAAAGGAGACTACAATTCTTATTAAAAGACCATGTGTTACCATATAACATGTTCATGCGGTATTAACCGTTTTCAGAGGTTTGTATAACAGTAGACAAGTATTACAAGTAGATACTGTGTAGCGAGTTATAAACACGATTTCCTCGGTTTCTTTCGAGTTTTTTTTGTTGTTGATGCAATATTGAATAATATGTAACGTTTTAAATGCATCCATATTTGAACACTCCTTCTAGTATTACATTCTTACAAAATGTTAAAAAAAGTTTAATTCTAAAATGAATCTGGTAATTTACGAAGATAATAATTTCAACCCTGAAGGGTTTAATTTTTTCCCTATATTGTACTTTACGCACCAGAATGACTTTATAAATAAGCAAAACCATCTTAATGGTTTCGCATTGACTTCTGCAAAGGTTCAAAATCAGTTTACATATGTATTTATGAACCGCCACGCGAGGAATAACAAACTATCAAATTGTGTTTAATGGCCATACCATACTATAAGGTATGGCCTCTGTTTATTGTTTTAACCAACAATACTTAAACATGTGCAAAGAATAGTACATACATCAATATTATGCAAATTAATACAATATAGAAAATACACATGTAGGAATAATAATTAATCGAGTTCTACTATAATAGTAAGAAATGTGAGGGTTTCGTAAGAAAAACGCCGTGTTTAATGGCCATACCATACTATAAGGTATGGCCTCTGTTTATTGTTTTAACCAACAATACTTAAACATGTGCAAAGAATAGTACATACATCAATATTATGCAAATTAATACAATATAGAAAATACACATGTAGGAATAATAATTAATCGAGTTCTACTATAATAGTAAGAAATGTGAGGGTTTCGTAAGAAAAACGCCATAAAAGCTAGAATTAGACTAGCTTTTCCCCACATTTCACTGCATAGGAGAGAAGACCAAGGTTAATGATCTTGAAACTTTAACCAATAAAGGGCTTATTTAACAGAGAATTCCCGAAGGTATAAAAATTGGTTAATGGTATTATTTTTTTTTTTTTTTTTTAACTGAAGCTAACCAACCTATGATATTTAATGAAATAATAATCAAACATATCATTTGTCACAAGCCCCAGCAAGTGACCCGAATACATAT